CTCGAGGATGTTTAGTGTGGAATAAAGAACTCGCACAGAAACAACTAATTACATATCAAATAACTTTATTCATACACTGTTAAACAGTTCATTTATATCGAAACTCTCAAAGTTGTCTAATAACACTACTTCTAAATCACTGAGTTCTTCATTTTGAAAGTCTAGGTGTTCATTAATGAGCCCTTATATTACATCCAATAAGAAAGATACAACATTAGTTAAGTTATCAATGAAGTTAACACAAGAAATTCTCTCGGTAATAATTTGTATAACTATTAACAATTCTTCCCGGACATCCTTAAGTAATCCCACATCAAGCATTTTGAAATCTACTATTTCTTTAGTACAGTTAATGTTCTTCACTTTTCCGTCTTTATACATTATTGAATCTTAAGTGAAACACTGTTAGACTAGATCAAAAATAGCAAACTTGCAAAGAGATTGTGCAGCGAACTTCTTGTAGATTCTGGATTACTACCATCTTCTTCTGGAGTTGGATCATGTCCTCTAAGCAACTTGGTAAGAGCAGAGAAGTCGATCAAGTTGGAGAAGCGCCGTTTAGAATCAGAAACACGGAATTATATATGCAATTTTTAGTGTTTTTTGGATTGTTCAAGAAGTTTAGCAGATATCCTTTTAAAAGTAATTATTTTAAGTCGTTTGATACAAGTGGGATCTTCCAGTAACAAGTGGACTATTCCATCAGACTGTAACCAAATTCCACTTTACTATTGGTCCTTACAGAATATATTTCTGTCCCTCATCTTATATCTTTGGTGAAATCATCCAAGACAATTAACTTAGGGCATATATAGACAATCTATGTAACTCCAGACTCTTCACTAGGAGTATCTCCCCCATTGTCCTTTGTTGCTGTTCTGTTAACTGCTTTTTTTTTAGTGACATTGGTTCATTTCGTCGTGCATTTTATCTAACTATTGGAGTTTTCTCAACATACCACGTCTGCAAGCTGTGAATTCTTACCCTCTGAGGTCACAACTGGAATGTTGCTTTTAGTTTACTCCCGTTATGGGCCGCAGGCTTGCATCTTTGATATCTGGTATTGCAGTTCACTATTTACTGCCCACGCCCTCTTATAACATTTTCGATCTGGTGCTTTCTCCATACTAAACGTTATAAAATAAAATTTCTTTTATTTAATCTTTTTTTTTCTGATGTAGATCGCAAGTGTTCTATGCGCTGTTGAAATCCCTAATTGTTAATCTTGATCGTTTAGGGGTAAATGTTGTATTTCTGATAATATGCTTTTTAATTCGTTAATTTCTGAATTCTATTATATTTTTTTTAATTGTGATTCTTCTTCAGTTAATAATTATTGTAAATCAGGAATCTCTAAGTTTAATGGGGCAGCAGTACACTTAGTTTACTTGTAGAACAGGAGGGTAAAGTTATTCCTTGCCCACGTGCTGAACAATTCCTAGCTAACTTTATATATCCACTCTCCCTTAATTTAGTTACTTTTGTCTGGTAATCAAATTGATACACATAGTTTTGGGGCATATTACCAATTAAGTTAGTTCACTTCTAACGTTAAATAGCCACGTTCCTTGTGTTTTAGTTTTAAAGACTTAAAATGGTTTAGGGTGTTACGTATTACAATTTCAAATGGTCTGAAACCGAGTTAACTGATGATTTAAATTTAGTAGTTTAATTGTATTTCGGATTTAGCAGTTAAGTAAAAGCCGATATAGTCAGTTTATGATATTTGCCAAAAAGATTAATACACACAGTTTTTCTTTTATACAAATATGTCTTAATATACAAACAATAATACACTTTACAATAACAGTTATTACAAATAGTTATTACAAACAATGATTTATATACAAAAGTTTCATAAACTTACAAGCAATATAAAGTCTTCTTTCTAATCTGGAACTTCTTCGATACCTTATCGAGGATTTACGATGAGCAAGTTAATTAAGAGTTGATTTAGGTACGATTTGCTTAACGGGAAGTTAGCTAGCTTTGCCCTTCGTTATTCACCAGCCACACACGCCGAAATTTCCTACCGGTGATGTTAGGCAATGTTTTCATAAAAGTACTAATGTCCAATGTGAATCCAGTGAAGTTGAATGATTTGTAATGTTCGAACTTTGTAAATGCTCCTGGTCAAATATCTGAAGTTTTCCGATTTATAAGCGTTACAAAAATCACAGTTATAGTTTCCAAAGTTTATAGCACACTGATTATAGCAAACTAATAATAGACACACTTTTTTTTTTGGCGCGTCGTATTGGTTACATTTACAGGCGTGTGGAGGCTTTCTAGAAATTTCAGTTTTACGCGACAATACTGACGCTAAGACAAATGTTTACGTACACACACATATTGTTGATTCTTACTCTCGAGCATCTTCTATAACTTTGGAAAATAAGCGGGAGTTTCGCAATACATATTTAACAGTATAGGCTATGTATTTTTCTAAATATAAATTTAATCTAAACAAACGTTGATATTAAAATAAATATATAATAACAAATTCGTTACAAGGAATACTCACTCTTTTATTTTATTTTTGGTATCACTTAGTTTCAAGTTACTATAGGTATCGAATATATCCCAGAATTAGGATCTCGTACCCTAATAGGTCCTTCTGCATATTTTAGTATATCTTTCTCTGTTAGCTCTAGATATGCGTGTTGATCATTAGAAACAGTTGTATATGGTTTTTCACTTTCTGTAGTAAATGCTAGTGAATTATTTAAGGCTAATGTGCAGTGTATCTCTTATTGCAACTGTTTTTACATCAGCCCATGTATAATACATGTACAAACTGTAAATGTGGGGGTAATCTTCTTTCGATGTCGTCTAGTATTTTTTCTAGTTTACTATGGGTGTAGAAAATAAGAGCTTAACTTCCTATCTGCAGCTACATACAATGTCTGTAATAATATAACTAACTCTATCCTACTACTTCCCACAGTAAAAGTTAACTGTTGTAGACTGGTTAGAGCCTTGGCAATTAAGACGAGCATTTCAGCTCCTGCCTTGTTCTAACCTAACATGTATTAATGCGTTAGTGATATCCACTAGTACTCAGGATAACTTTCTTATTTCCTGATCATGGAATTCCAATGTTTGATTCAAAGAATTCATAATAATCACCTGTTCGTCTATAAAGTGGATCATTTCCTTGGAAATTTGTCGTTGCTGGTCAACCTTTTTATTTAATTCTGTTAAGTCGTTCATGATTGCGGTGCCAAATAAGAATTTTAGGATACTTCCGCCTTCATTAATTCAACCACGTTTCTGTCGATTACGATCGGATATAGAAACGATATCTTTAATATCGTTTAGTTCTGATAATAGATCACCTATCTAATCGTGATATTGATTAACTAGTGTCTTGCAATTTTCAATTAGTCTTTTATCTAATATTCTTAAAATTTTTAAAAATATCTATTCTCTGATATGCCATATGATATGACGTCATATTTTCCGAACTTTCTGGATAAAAGATAACGCGAGTATCAACGTCAAATTATTTCTCGAATGCTACTACTTCTTCTTGTAAACGGATTAACATCTGAACATACTGCGGAAACGGTATGTCCTCAACAGTATTCATTTATCTCTGGATAATATAAAATTACCTTCAATAAATATCATACCCACCTTATTCTCTACTGGAGCGATACTTACATTTTGTCCTGTCACAATTCCTAACGTCAAAACCACAAGGATCCTGTTATACCTATGAATATGTCTACTACTAGTGCGAATAACAATATCATATTGCATTATTAAACATAAATTATATACAACAACATATAAATAATCTTACTCTCTTTATCCTAGTCATATCTCAGTTAGTCAATTACACTAACAGTTATGACAGATAACAGTTTGATTCTCTGTAGGCTTTTGCAAAATACAGGAAAAAAATTGTAACTTGTGGGCATAGTAGTAATCAAAGAAATATGAACTGAATTATCCACTTGGTTCAGCAAGGGAAACGTTATGTTTCGCATGTTTTTGTTTGGTACTGTTTTTTAATTTTCTAAACCTACGATCAGTTTTACATTTTGCCCCCGAAGAAGAAAGGTCCACCTTTCGAAAGCGCTCAGGTTATAGGGTTTTTATTTATTGCTACACTTTATGTTTTAAGCCTAAAATTCACGAGTGATTTTTGTGACAGAAGTTTTTACAAAAATCGAGTATTTGCAATAAAAAACATCGTTAACCTGCTAAAAGCGACCCGAGTTTTTCAGACGTACATATAATAGCCTGGTATATACATATATGTGCGTGTGTGCATGTGTGTGTGTGTATGAATTAGAAACTTGTCATTTTGCCAAAATGCACTTTTCTTTGAAATTACGTAATGACCCGTATTTAGTTAATGTGTAACTCTTAACCTTTACCCTTACTTACTTTATTTCGTTTTATTCTTGTTACAAGAAACGCCTTTCGACGTTTCTGAAAGCCAAAGCGACACTTTCTTGTTAAAATAATTTTTACCGTATTTTTGTGTTCATAGGGGGTGTAGATTAGAACTGTGACAAGACATTTAGAAATTACTAAACTTTGTCCTCTTACGCATGTGTAGATATGATCACAAGGTGGCGCTTTATAGAAATGAGAAAGTGAATTTAACTAAAAAGTTAAGCAATTTATAAATATAGTATAATCCCCCAAAGTTGTGACTTTAAATGCCTGTGATTTTTAATTTGAAGTGGACGAATTCAGAGGAATGCGGAAGAGAACATTTACAGTTCATGTGATCTAATCCCACATTTTAGGCCTAGGATATTATTTCTAAGTTTAATGAATTTGTTCGATCATATTCCTTTACCTCCATTGATTTTACCATACTTTATTTCCTTGTTATCACATATTATCTAAAGCTATGTTATATACATTAGGTTTTAAAGTAAAATGCTTTAATAGTATTTAAAAAATATTACGTTTTATCTTCGTCTACCATGTTGTTTATATATTTCAACCAGTTCATTCTCTTTCACCACATTCTCCAGGACTTTTTTTTCACATCTTGGGAGAAGGAGTTGTGCAATTGTCCAAGAGAGGGCGTTCGGACTTTAGCGATAAAGAAAATTACATAGATTTTCGTATGAGACTTTTGGGAGAAGGACAACCCAAATCAGGTGAGTCAAAATTGTGAAAATGTTTCTTATCAGTTTAAACTACAATTTGTTATTATATATCATGCAGTGTTTAATTTTTTCTTTTGTCAATTTGTCCAAACCACAATTTTAACAGTAATGAGCAAGGAAGAATGTTCTTTCAATGTGGACAGCGATGGTAGCAAATTGATACAGAACGTCTTAAATATATTCTTTCAAAACATTCAGCCTTCATTCTGAGTTTCGATTCTAACCATACAGCATGGAAACTGAAAGCTGTAAAAGAAAAAGATAGGGAACAGTTAAAAAGATAATGAGCAAATGGTCCAAGACATCATGAAAGAACCAGATAGGGACATCATCAAAGAACAAGATAGATAAAAAGGTAAAGAAGCGCTTAGCAAAGGGCCCAAAACATCTTGAAGGAACCAAATAGAAAAACAAATAAAGACATAGTGGATAAAAACCTGAAACATCATGAAAGAACCAGATAGGGACATCATCAAAGAACAAGATAGATAAAAAGGTAAAGAAGTGCTTAGCAAAGGGCCCAAAACATCTTGAAAGAACCAAGTAGGAAAACAAGTAAAGACATAGTGGATAAAAACCTGAAACATCATGAAAGAATTAAGAAAAGGCAAATGAAGAAATACTGATTCAAAAAGCTAAATATCGTCAAAGAACCCAAATGACAATGAAAGCCCGTAATAAAATATTAGTGAGCTGTTGCGATACCACTAGCGTTAATTATTATTACACTTTTTGAAAATTATATTTTAATCACTAGCCTGCTTTAAAGCACCAATGACAAAGAACTGAAAACTATCTGAAAGCTAAATTAATATTGATCAGAGTTCTGATTCATGCAGATAAAATGAAGCTCTTATCATCTGTTACCAATAAAATTGAATTTATTCAATAAAACGCAAACTTCATTTTATCTTGGTAAATAACAACCCTGTCCTACCTAAAAATGGTTCACTAATAGTAACAAAAAATGATTGGGAACTTTTAGTACATAACTCAACCTAGAGAAATGTAAGTTCGAACAGAACGTAATTAAGGACTCAATAATAGCTAACCAAAAACTGAGTATTTTTGATTAAACTTCTGTGAGTGGAAACAGAAAGTAATTACTTTAAGAAATTAATATTAGGCTGGTCAAGGCCTAGTATTTAGTGCGCCTGGATCGTGAATTCGATGGCATGGATTCGCTTCCGTTGCCGCACAAATGCGCGCCGCTCTCCACACTTTGAAGCCATGGGTGCGCTATAAGAGTAACAGTCAAATCTCACTATTCGGTTATATAAATCTACCCCCAAAGTTGGCGGTGGGGTATTGTTAACTAGGATATTTATCCTTTAAATTCTTACTTCAAAATTAGGAACGACTTGTGTATCTTTGCATAGAAATGTGTTTATTAATATTAGACAACAATAAGTGTTTCTATTGAAATGTTTACGAAATATTAGCCGGATAAATCTGCATAATTAGTCATAAAACAAATTGATCTACCGTTATGCTATGTACTAATAACGTAAGATTCAAACATATTAATCTTGAATGTTGTGTAAAAGTTTTAATATTTTATTTGTTTAACAGCTATCTCTATCATTGCATTTCCCCATAGTGAAAGTTGAAATACTCTACTAAGAAGCAGGGTTGTCTATATCCTTAGACCATACATTTATTATTACACATATAGGGCTAACATTGAGTTTTTTTTAAGTTATGAATTAAAATCCAGACCTGTGGTGAGAGAAATTAATCGGCTATTGGCTAACATTGAATAATAATAATATTATTATTATTGATTTTTCACTTTTGAGAAATATTGTATAGTTTTTCTTAGTACGTGGATTTGAGACTAACTTAAATCCTCTATGTTGATCAAACATATATGAGATATTATTGGATTTAATTTTAATTAATTCTTAAATCCTGTATATAGCGACTGGATCAATGCATCCTTATTATTATAAATTTTCATTTGCTGTCTATTCTACTAGTCAGTTCTAAATATATATAGAATCAGCGTCATTAAATTATAAGCTATCTTTTATTCCTGATCTAAACAGTTTGCTTTTTATTGGAAGTCTTGATAAATATTAAGTTAATTATTTATTCAATTATAGATGTTCGTTAAGCTTACTGTAAGTATTCTGATTATGCAATTAGCATCATGATATTCTTAAAAGAACCGTCAGGAAAACATTTGGAAAGTTTTAAACACTTTGATAAATTTCTTCACTGAAATGTTTCATGTTTTGTGTTAGTGCAAAGCTACAACCACAGGAAATCGAATCCCAGATTTTAGCGTTATAAATCCGTAAAGTTACCGCTGACCCACTGAGAGGGAGAGGGGGGGGGATACTGGAATGTTCAACACATATAGATCGCAAGAAGTAAACTACTATGTATGCTATGATACTTTGATTACCAAGACATCTAAAAGTGGAGATTGGTAAATGTGTATCGTAAATTATATAAGGACGTAAATACAGTGCAGATATGTACGAAATCTGTCAGTCAATTCTGGAAGATAGTCTATCAGTTCTGTTTAAAAATGGCCCGGCATGGCCAGGTGGTTAGAGCGCTCAACTCGCAATCTGAGGGTCGCGGGTTCGAATCCCCGTCACACCAAACGTGCTCACCCTTTCAGTCGTGAGGCCGTTATAATGTGACGGTCAATCCCATCATTCGTTGGTAAAAGAGTAGCCCAAGAGTTGGCGGTGGGTGGTGATGAATAGCTGCCTTCCCTCTAGTCTTACACCGCTAAATTAGGGAGGGCTAGCGCAGATAGCCCTCGTGTAGCCTTGCGCGAAATTTAAAACAAACAAACAAAAAAGCCACTAAAGTACAAAGAAGCTGCTTGGAGAGTCTTGAAAGCGTTTCATATTTCTAATACGTACAACTTTCACGCTTGCTGGAGCTATCCTATAGAACTAGACTTTATTCACCATTATCATACAGTCCGACAAAACTGTATATTTGAAAATTATTTACGTTTTTATCGTGATCTTTCTATTCTAATTTTAAAAAGGTTGTCCGATTATCAGGCATTCAGTTCAGAGCGGCCCTTGTTATTAAACAAAATAATGAATTGAAAACAATGTTGAATATTATAAGACCAGGGGAAAGGTTTATTATAATTTGAATACTTTAACACCTGAATAATGATTTAATGTCGAACCGTTCATGCTTCTTTCATAAAGGTGAAGTAATTGTCTTTTTTGAAGATTTGTGAATTCCGTACTTGGTTAAAGTTGTTTCGTTATATATCTGTTAGATCAAGAGCGTCTTGAATATATTCTTTCAAAACACTCGGTCTTCATTCTGGGTTTCGATTCTGGCAGCTCGACATAGAATCCGAAATGTTGTCAAAGAACCAGACAGGGTTGTCTGTTTGTTTTTGAATTTCACGCAAAGCCACTCGAGGGCTATTTCTGTTAGCCGTCTCTAGATAGGCTAGAGGGAAGGCATCTAGCCAGCACCACATACCGCCAACTCTTAGGCTACTTGCTCTTTTACCAACAAATAGTGGGATTGACCGTCATTATATAACGCCCCCTACGGCTGACAAGGCGAGCATGTTCGGTGACAGGGATTCGAAATTTGAGCACCACAACCAGATAGGGAAACGGGTAATAAAATAATGCGCAAAGGACCCGAAACATCATGAAAGAACCAGATAGGAACGTCACCAAAGTCGCCTTATCTTCAAAACGAGGAGAGTTTTGTAAATCCTGTATTTGGTTAAAAGTTATTTTATTATATTTCTGTTAGATCAAAAAGTTTATGGTATATAAACTCGAGGTTAAAAGAATAATTCATTTTACGTATTCAGAATAATTTAGATCTTCGTTTGAACATGACGTCGTTAATGGAAAATATTTGCACACAGAGTAATGGCAGAAATGCGTTGATAAGTAGGTCACGTTTTGTTTGCAATTCTTCAATAATCTCTTTAGTAAAAACCCGTTCATGTTCAGGCATATAGCATTTTATATTGGCTTAACTTTTATTGGAGTGGTACGTTGAATTTTCCATTCTATTGTTGTAATATGTTTATAAATGTTTTATGTCACTTAAAACTGCAAGTTCTACTAAAGGAGAGGGCGTCTTTATTCTAATAATTCACAGTAAGATGACGTACGATGTGTGAAAAGCTCAGGCGTGACTAGTCTCGTTCGCTTGTTTATTATTTTTTAAAGAGGTGTAAATTACAGAATGCTGGGTATCGCTGTGATTCTGAAAACCAGAGGTGTTCTTAAAATGACTAACTGCATTGTAATCGTTGTAATCAATTGTCAGGAGTATTTTAAACAATTCTGACTTAATCGACTAGTTTCAAATAAAAACTTGATTGTTTATAGTTTTTTTTTAAATTTCGCGCAAAGCTACACGAGGGCTAGCCGTTCCTAATTTAGCAGTGAAGGAAGGCAGCTAGTCATCACCACCCACCGCCAGCTCTTGGGCTACTCTTTTTAGCAACGAATATTGGGATTGACCGTCACTTATAATACCCTCACGGCTGAAGAGGTGAGCATGTTTGGTGTGACGGGGATTCAAACCCGCGACCCTCAGATTGCGAGTCGAGCGCCCTAACCACCTGGCCATGCCGGGCCTCCATCAAATAAGATAACTCGCGTTACCATAAAATAAATTAACACCAAATGTAAATATTTCTAAGGGTTATCCGTTAATAAAGTTAACCAAAAATTGTTGCAAAACAATCGGTGATCTGGTGTAGTTATTGTTTTTCACACTCTTATTTTTGTAATATTTCTATATGAAAGAAAGTTGAGTTTAAAAGTTAGTTTTAAAGATTCGTTGTTATATATATATATACATGTCTATGTGTGTGTGTTGTTATATATGTAAAAGCTGTACCTTTTACGTGATTCAGACAATGAAAATTTATTGTTAGTGAAATTTTAATATAGAACTCCGTATATAGGAGCTTGCAAGCCTGGTTTGAATGTTTACAACAAAATATTACAGACACTTTAAGCTGTAGGTGCGTAATAAGAGTAACAGTCAATCCATCATCGTGGATGGTGGGTGGTATTGGCTAGCCGTTCCCCCTCTGGTCAGTAGCTCACAGGTTAGGGAAAGCGACAGTGTTATTTATTATATAATGTTTAACTAAACACATTTTATCTGCGACATTTAGCTAATAAGATATATTCTTTTTCCCACATGCCTCCAGTGGCATAGCGCTATGTCTGCGGACTTACAACGCTAGAAACCGGGTTTCCATACCCATGGTGGGCAGAGCACAGATAGCCCATTGTGTTGCTTTGTGCTTAACTTCAAACAACAACAATCTTTTTCCCACATTTATTTTTAGAATTTAGAATTTCATTAAATATACGAATATCTGTCAACATAAAGACTATAAAAATTGTTCGAGTGAATAGGCTACGTGTTATTTGAGAAAAGCAAGCTTATTTTTGAAGCAGTTGTAGAGAAAAGGGAAACACAAACTTTGATATCACCAAGCATTGTAATGTTTAGTATGCAGGGATGAGCCAAGAAAAACATGGCTGCCGCATTCAATCTATTATTCTACGATGCTTAAAAATAACTGCTAAAGTTGAGTTATAGACTTATTATAGTAACTAATTGCCATTATCGAGTGTTTTACAGCTTGGGAGACTCCCAGTATCATTGAAAAGTGTTGTTAAACCTCGACTTACAAGTGTACTTTATATTTTGATTTTTTAGGTAACAATCGTGAGATTGTTTTGCCGCCAGGTGTTCAGTCCTTTCCATTTAAACTAGGACTTCCATTAGGATTACCTTCAACGTTTTTAGGAAAACATGGCTGGGTGCAGTACTATTGTAAAGTGGCACTTAAAGAATCTTCTGGCGTTGTTCACAAAAACCAACAAGTGTTCATCGTCATGAACCCCATAGATTTGAACTTGGAGCCTTCTCTTCTCATGGTAGGTGTCTCTTCCTTCAAAATAGAGAAACTATTACTGACATAAGACGTTTTTGAAGTGTGTCTTAACTTTTATGATTCGTCGAAATATTTAATGTAACTATACACATAATACACGCGCAATAACATAATTAAATGCCTTTTTATGTTTCTCAAGTCATAATTTTGAAATAATAATAATAATATAATTACAAGTGCTGTGCCTGACAATTTTAACTTCGAAAAGTTACTTTCGCCTGATCCTGTTCCTTGAATTTAAAAATTATACGAGCTTTTTCAACTGCTACGAGAAAAAATGGAACTACTTTTAATGCAAACAAAAGAAAACCTAGTTTTTAATTTCGTAGCTATCTTTTGTCTTGTATATATCTAGATGCATGTTCCAAGTTAGCAGTTTTTTTTTTTACTGCTTATCCTAATTATTATTCCATCTTACAGCAACCTTTCCACTGTGAAATTGAAGACACTCTCGGACTCAGCTGTTTCTCGTCCGGTCCTGTCACGTGTAGGGTTCGTTTAGACAGGGGAGGCTACGTACCGGGAGAAAGTATCTCAATCTTCGCCAACATAGAAAACAACAGTAAAGTTACAATAAGGAAGACAAAAGCAGTACTCACTGAGGTATGGGGAAGATTTTACATCATTTACTCTCGTTAGACACTAGTCTTGTATTATCTGCCAGGTATAACTGCTAGTTCCAGCGGCGTTTTCTGGAATCGTCTATCAGTTCTACAACAATGTACTCATACTTGACATTCAATAATGTTCACCATCCATGAGAAAAAGAATTTTATTGAATTTTAGTTTAAAAATGAGCCATCATCACAACATTACATCACACAGTAGATTTTATGAAGTATTTCCTGTAGATGCAATTATCAATG